CAGTTGGGACAGGCTAATGTTCAAGTGATATTCTCTATGGACCCGACGTGAAATGTCTGGTTACCGACAATAGCCACTGGAATAGACTAATGTGTTCAATAGAATTGTCTGTGAACATGACATGAAGTGTTTGGCCACAGACAATAGCCACTTAAATGGACTAATGTGCTAAATGGAATCGTTTGTGAACATTGCCAAAGAGGGTGCCATTTCGGTCTCTTGTCCATCATTTCCTACAATTTATTTAATTTTAACAAAACAATTATGTTCTAGGCTCACACAACTATTACATGTGTATAAATGAAACTATTGCCTGGTCACAACTATTATTTAAGTGGTTATTATTTGTTAAATGATATTGTCTGTGAACCAGATATGAAGTGTCCTGCCACAGGCAATAGTTATCAGAATGAGCTAATGTGCTAAGCGGAGTTGCCTATGAGTCAGACATGAAATGTCTGCTTACAGACAATAGCCACTGCAATTGGCAAATGTGCTAAGTATAAATGTCTATGAACCTGATATGAAGTGTCTGGTCACTAGAATGGGTTAATGGGCTAATATGCCAAGTGCTAAGAAATAATTATATGAAAAATAGTCGAAATAACATTCTACAATAACTTCTTTACATCATTAATAAAATATATTCAAAATACGAAGTATAATTTTTTCATAATTCCCAACTGAACCGCTTCAACATGAAATTAAGAATCTCGTTTAAATAAATTCACTTGACAGATTAACTTGTTTAAGTGACTATTGTCTGTAACCAGACATTTCATGTCACATTCATAGACAATTTCAATTAATACATTTGTCTGTTCCAGTGACTATTGCATGTGACCGAACATTTCATGTCTGGTTCACAGACAATTCCATTAAGCAGAATAGTTCATTAGCCCAATTCAATGACTATTGTTTGTGGCCAGGCACTTCCTATCAGGTTCATAGACAATTTCCTTTAGTATATTAGTTTGTTCAAGTGATCATTGTTCGATCAAGTGATCATTGTCTGTGGCTAGACATTTCATATGTGGTTCACAAACAATACCATTTAACAAATAAGTTTGTTCTGATGGTCAATATTTGTGGTCATAGACAAATTATTCATAGCACAATCGACACTCAAGTGGCAAAAAGAATAAATCATCTGATATCTTTTGCTTTGAAACTCTCATTCTAAACTTGTAAAAATATTAATTTTCTCATCATTTGTTTTATCAATGCCTAGTTCACAATAAGATACATCTTTGATAATAAATGCAAATCTAAATACTACTACATTCTAAATACAAGAACGTTTGCATTACAATGTGACTAGTTACAAAATAGCACTATATCACTTTTCACATCTACAAACAATTCCACAAAATGACCAATCTCCTCCAGTAACAATCATTCTTTCTCCATGTAGTAAAGTCTTCGTGCTATGTCATGATGAAGCATTTCTGAATTTATAGTAGCGCAAAGATAAAAATGAGCCACATCCATATCATTCTTCGAAGAGAACTCTAATAAGACATAAGCATTCGTGAGAATGAACACCATTTAAAATTATTTTCGTTTACATAACACAACAAAATTTATAAGACATAAGCATTCGTGAGAATGAACACCATTTAAAATGGTTGGCTCCACCCCTTCATGTAGCATATTTATAGTTGTTCATTCATGCACAACAAAATTTAGAAACTAAAATTTCAATAACAAACTAGCAAATATTTAATAAAGAAAAAAAAAATCAATATATATACTACTACATATAATTTAAACTGAAAAACTAGAAAATTAGAATCTAAAACTAATAAACAAAAGAAAGAGATAAAAAGTGTCATTTTAACAAACATGTTATGAACATTGAATTAAATAGAGCAATTGGACTAAAATTTCAATACTTAACACCACGTACAATATCTTACTATAAGATACAAATATGTATAATCAGGAAAAAAAATAAATCTCATATATACACAAGAAAAATCGGAATAAATTATTACCTCATTAATAAAACTTTTGAGAAACAGGTTAAGTTATTTGGGAACCAACAAGAACGGAGAAGATAATAGCCCTAGGAAAAGGGGTTTCTGGTCATTTCCTACCACCCATCATCATCATCCAAGAAATTTGAGAAGACTAGTGGTAAAGATGCAAGCTTTTCCTCCCCATATGCATCTGTGAGTGGTTCAGTGGGGGTTAGTGAGAAGAGAAGAGACAGCTTCTAGTGGTGGAGGAGAATGAGGAGGGTTCCGGTTAGACCGCCCAACAAGATAGAAAAATTTTCAGACCCAGATTTGTTTGGTGTGGAAGCAGAAGCTTTCAAGGGACTTCTTTTGAGTACGATTCTTCTTCTTCGGAGATAGGGAAAAGGGTTGGGAAAGAGAGAGAAAGGAGAAAGGGATTGGAAGGAAAGGGGTAAATCAAAGTAATGGAAAGGTAAAAATAAATAAAGGTTTTTATATGATGTACAGTTTGTGTACAATACGTGTACCCTAAGACCGATTGACATAAAAATTGCAGTAACCGGGGAAAAGGACTGCACCCAGCCATACACTTACATTATCTTCATCAACTGTATCTCCAGGAACAGACTCGGCCCCCAACTCATCGAGTCATCGCGATAAAATTAATTTCTTCATTTTATCTGAAAAACATAATTTACCATCAATAGAACATAACAACATTGAAGTAAAAAACAATTGATGATCAGGTTTAAAAAAACCGGTGGCAATCAGGGAATGAATTGAATGAGCATAATGGGAGGTCAACTTCCAGTCTTCCACAGCAAGTATAGTAGAACTCTTGGACTGCAATAAGCCGCCATGAAAAAAATATAGATATGAGTAATAATCTTCTGAACCAAAATATTTTTTCCTTAAGATACAAAAATCATTAATTAATTTGTTTACAATCAAAAGAAAAAGGGAAAATCGCACATTTCGTCCTCCAATTATCCACCATATTGAAATCCCAGACTCGTGTTTCAGGTTTTTTAAATGTCACCCCTGATTTGTCAGAATAATTATAAATGTCACCCCTACCGTTAGAAATATTACATACGGCGTCTTTCTTTCCAATTTTTCAAGGTTACACACGTCATTTCCCGTCCTTTTACGTTTAAAGCCCTGAATCGAATAAAAAACCAAACTTTCTCCCTTCGCCCTGAAGAGCTCTCTCTCTTCATTCGCCCGTTCTGCAGCCGTTTGGAGTTTTGAAGAGCTCTCTTCCTTCGTCCGTTCTTCGTCTTCAGGTGCATGCATATATTTCGTTCTTCCCTTCGTCGTTATTGTGTGTCGTCGTCCGAAGCTAGAAGGAAATAAAGCGTAGAAGGAGACTTTAGTGAAATTACGTATTTAGGCTGGCAAAAGAGAAGAATAGGCGGGAGAACTTTCTCTCTCCGGTGTAGTGCTTTTAGGTATAGGATTTGGGAAGAAGAAAGAAGCAAAAGAAGCGGAATGCAGGAGTCCGAATCTAGAAGGAAATAAAGCGTAGAAAGAGACTTTGGTGAAATTACGTATTTAGGCTGGTGTAAGAGAAGAATAGGCGGGAGAACTTTCTCTCTACGGTGTAGTGCTTTTACGTATAGGATAATTTGCTATATATTTTGCGTGCAATTGATCAACGTATAAACATTAATGGAAGTGATTCAAGTGGATCACATCTCATGCTTAAGATGATCTCCATGTGTTCCAAGGTGTTGGGTTCAAGCCATAAGGAGGTGAAATTAATGAGGTGAGTTGAAAAAGAATTTTTTTCCATTGATGATCCTTTTGCCGTCAAGCAAGAGTTTCAGCAACTCGAGTTAACTTCCCTTAAGAGTTTGGGTGGGCTTTAGAAACTGTTCTCTTCGTCTTATTCTTATTACTTATTGCTTAATCTTATTTTATTCAGATCAGATCAGATCAGATCGGAAAAATTCAGATCAGATCAGATCAGAAGCATTCAGATCAGATCAGAAAGAATCAGATCAGATAAAAAACATTCAGATCAGATCAGATCAGAAAACCTCAAACATGATTTATCACTTTTATTATTATAATTAATAATAATACATTAATAATATTAAAATAATGATAATAATATATTATTTTTATTATTAAATAATGATAATAATATTCTAATATTATTATAATAATATTAAATTCTAATAATAATAATAATAGTATTATAATATTATATTATTATTGTTTAATAATAATAATAAAATAATAATAACAATAATAATGTTATATTATTATTATTATTATTATATTATTAATATATTATTATTATTATCATTTATTATATTATTATTATATTGTATTCTATTTTATTATATTATAATTAATATTATTATATTATAATATAATTATCATTTATGTTTCTCATATCAGATCAGAATGATTCAGATCAGATCAGAAACATTCAGACCAGATCAGAAACATTCAGATCAGATCGGAAAGATTCAGATCAGATCAGAAAGATTCAGATCAGATCAGAAAAATTCAGATCAGATCAGATCAGAACTTAAAAAATTCAGATCAGAAACATTGAGATCAGGTGAAGAGATCCGCTTCTTAGTGTTGGTGTATGTAGGAAGACATATTTATGTTAGTGACTACGTTTAACTGCTATCAAAATTTTGTGAGTTACTTTAACAAAATGTTCTCAATTTTTCATTAAATTTGAAAATTGTAATTTTTTTCTGGATCGGGTGGCCCGCTGGATTTATTTTTTTAAATCATACGGAGTATTTCTTATTTTATTTATTTGTAAGGACGATGCACATTAAAATCCAACTAGCAAGCCATCGAGGCATCGACGGTAATATATCTGGTCTATTGAAAATTTTATGATGATTTATTTAAGTTCCGTAAATGTTTACAAATATACATATACTCTGCATATTATCATAATCAATATAATGTACATGAATAATGTATGTGATCCAGATGTTATATCAAATGTTTATTGATTTATTTTTCAATAAAAACTTGAGAATACATAATCATATAGAGTTCACATTCAGATTGACCAAGTATGTTACTACCTCCATCTCACTAAGATTGTGATGATTCGGTTTACGATGCTTGACCGACGATAAAGCAAACAGATCTTTATCCGCGCTTAAATTATTTTTAGAAAAAAAAATACATATTCAGAAACTACATTAATAGTTTTACAAAGTCGTGAAAACTTGAATCAAATTTGATAAAAATTTGATATACAAAGTAAGAGATTAAGAGAGATTTGTGTTAACCAAGTGAATAGGAGCGGAGACAATCTCAGCGGACGGAGGAGTATTATTTATGAAATCGGTTTTTGTTGTTCAAAACTTAGCTATCACCACCAGCTCTCACCTCACTAACAAAATTTGGAAGCGAAAGTGATGCTATGAAATCTGTTAGTTCATCAAGTGCTCTAAAAGAACTGCCCCCATCTCTTTCAAAGCAGTCATCAAATTTCTTCTTCACTTTCATGGCATTCTTCTTCAGCTCTTTCCTTTCATCTCCCACCATAAGTCTTCTAATAGTCTCTGCAATGATACCTCTCTCCACCTTCTCCAAATCGAGCCCGACCTTCCATTCATGGACCAAGAATCTGGCATTCACAAGTTGGTCAGCGAAGTGGGGTCTACAAATCATTGGAACACCTTCACCAAGACTCTCCAACGTTGAGTTCCAACCGCAATGGCTCCAGAATCCACCAACTGAGCCATGAGCCAATACTTTCTTCTGCGGCGCCCATTTCACTACTAGTCCTCTGTTTCCGCTTCTTTTCTCAAAGTCTTCTAAGAACCGCTCTTTCCCTTGAGAACCTAGTAAGAGTCGATCATACACACGAACATACAAACTCACATTTAATCCTTTATGTATTCATTTAATTAATTATGTTACTACCTTCATCACATTAATATTGGAACATGAGAATGTCGTGCAGATATTAAAAAAATGATATTTTTTGTGATTGATATTGAATGGATAGCGTAAGAATGATAGAAGTCACACAATTTTACCAAATTTGGGAGCATGACTTAGTTGGGCAAACTGAAAAGAAAAGAAGAGAATAGTTTTTTGGGATCATCAATCATATCACATTTCATTTGTCTTCTTTTTCTTTTAGCATTTGTGTATATAATTATTTTTTGTAGATAAGCATAAGAATAAAAAAAACTAAAATGGATTTAGATGGGAGGTAAATGGGGTGAATCTAGGCATTTGCAATAGGCTAGAGTGCTAGACTCAAGAGTGACAATATATTAGGTTTACACAGACCTAGACTGAGATAAATATTAAAATCTATATATATGCACGAAAAATTCAAAGGAACAAGACTCTTTGGTAACATTGAAGTTAGTTGAATTAATTGATTCTGTTGAAATTGATGGAGTTATGGATGAAGCGGCTGAATCAGATAAATCTGTTGAATTATACTCCCTCCGTCCCTCTATTAAGTTCCTACTTTGACCTACACACATATTTAGGAAATAAATTTGACTTTACTGTTTAGACACTGTTTGCACTGTTTAGACACTGTTTGGCACTGTTTAGACACTGTTTGGCACTGTTTTGCACTGTTTGACACTGTTTTGATGTAGGATAACTTTCCATTTAGGGAAATGAGAAGATTATTTTGGGACGGTCCAAAAAGGAAAGTAGGAAGTTAATAGCGGGACGGAGAGAGTAAAAAGTTATACTACGTATTTAGAATATATTTTATTAACAAAATAAAGAAAAAGTATATGAAAAATAACTGATATGCCCATCTAAAGTATCTTGAGTTAATTCAGCTAGACAAGTAACTTGAAACTTTACATTCAGCACGCGAAATAAAAAATTATTTATTTGATAAAAAAGTTTACTGATAAGACTAATAACAAGAAAATAGGGGCCACCAAACGAGTTCTAAGTTTTCTATAATCCAATCCACCATAACCTTAATAGTAGATCTACTCATTTATTCCTTAGAGGAGTAATATTTGGGGTAAATAATTTCTACATTTGGCTTGTTGAGAAATACAAAAAGTAATGCTAAATCACTATATTGAAAAACAAAAATAAATCATTATAATAAATATCAAGACTCCCCTTCCAATACCCTCCAACCAAACAAGTAACTCCTAAATTATCACCTCACAAAAAGTATTTCCTCTGACATCTAAAAATCCTTTCTCACTTAATTGAGTTGAGCCATTTTGAATGCAAGAAGTGATATGATATCGATGTGTTCATTGCAAAAACGGGTAATTGGGTCAAACTAAAATTTAAAAAGAGTTCATAGTTTCATTTTCAATGATCCACCATTTTACGCAAGCCACTTTCTCTTCTTCACAATTCTACGTACACCACACATTTCCCACTTTTTTAATCGGTGAGTAAAGTCAAAACATGAGTTTAATTTGGACGGGGATAGTAGTATAAAGATACAAACTCACTATCAATTGACCCGGGACGGACTGCCCACAAGAACGGCTGGTTGCTTTTGACCAAACCCCAAGCAATCTCTTCAACATCACTTTCATTAATCAAAGCTATGCTCCCACATGTACTTACAAAGAGGATGGACTGAGGAGCTTGTTTATCCAACCATGCGAGGCAGCTCTCATCTTCTTCTATCAAGCTAGTTGTGCTAGTTGGGGCAATCATGTGAAATGGACCTAATGGAAAGATGGGCACTTTGTAACCTTGTTGAAGCCTCGACAACCATGTCTGCTCAAGATCCTCCACTGTGTTCCATATTATGGCCATGGATGACCTTATATTGGTGGTAGTCAACATGAAGCGTCTTATTTCTTCTAATTGCATAAACTTTGACAAATCTTGATACCTCACTGGATAAAGACCAGGAATTGGATCTTGAAGTCCTGACTCTGTATCATCTATGAGTCAATATGAACTAATATTAGTTGCTTCAATTTGTTAGCATTGAAAAAGCAGTAAATTTGCAGCATGAAGACTTAGATTTGAATAAAGGGTTCGAAGAAAATGCATAAATGGTATGGTACTAGTATCCTAAACGGCTCGCTAATATTATAGGATTTGTTAATCCTGAAGTGTTCAGGTATGGCTCGGAAACAACGTACAGTATGTGTATCCTAAAGTATTTGATACGAAAGCGTTATTGATCATATGAGCAGATGACATACTAGTACAAATATAACCTTTCATTAATTTAAATATACTGGAGTGGCTATCAAAATATATACCTGGAAGGGGGAAAATAGTGTCTGCATTTTCAAGACAATGGAGTAAAACATGCAAGTAAGCAGCGCTGAAGGGGCGTAAAACGAGAGAGGGGAGATTGAGAAGTTCAGCGACTTTGTCAACGAAGAACATTATGTTGTCATAGATGATACAAGAAACCACATCCCCTTTCTCTTCCAAATACTCTTGGAGGGGTACCCTACAATTCTCATTCATTGCATAGATCATTTCTAGCCCTCTGCCTCCAGTTATACTATTACTGGCGTCTAGTCCATCTGCCAAGGAGTGGAAGGAGAAGTCAGGGTGGTTTGAAGGGTCAGGCGCCTTGTATTGGGCGTGGGCGATTATGATGGAGAAGCCCTTCGAGTGAAGGATGTGTCCTAGTTGCAGCATAGGGGTTACGTGTCCTTGGAAGGGGCTAGGCACCATAACCACACAGGCCTGCTGCCGCATTTCAGCTCCACCCTCCATTATTTCCATCTCTTTTTCTTGTCCAGGGTTACTGGAAGATGTCATGCTTTAATTTATATGCAAGTGGTGCTACAAAACAAAAGACATTACCAATGAGTAAAGTCAAAAGAGATTTTATGTGGAATAATCAATATTGATGTCTTAGAATAAATAGAAATAGTTATAAGCAGTTCTGCTGTCTATTGTATTAAAATGCATTAATAGTACTCTGTAATAGGTTAAGTACTTCATGCATTTTCTCTTGGTTAGTTTAGGGCACTAATCAATCCGGAGCAGCGGGATTGGAATGAAATCTTAACGAAAAAAGAATTCTTAGCGAGCCATACATAAGTATGAGGAGCTGAGGTTCTCCTAACGGGAGCTTGGATGCAAGTAAGACTATGTCTGAGAAAACGAAAACCGAGAACTGATTAAATTAAACCAAACCGCGACCAAATAAAACTAAACCACTAAATAACCAAAACTGAATGTAAAAAAGCGAATTGAACCATAATTTGGTTTGGATTTGTTTGTTATCCTTCAAAACCGAACTGATGAAACTGTACTAATTAAAATATGAAATTTTATCAACCCAAGATTTACGTTTATTTGTTAATTTGAAGAAAAACAAAATACACCAAAAGTCAGCATTAAAATTTACGTTATTGTCAACGCAGCATTACAAAAAGTCTAAAAGCAAAGGAATTTGAGCGTGACTTGGTAAAAAGAATAACCAAGTTATTGGATAATATATTATTATGATGTTTGGGAGAGCCACATATTAATTTAGATATGATATACTCTGTATGAAGTAATTGTTTGAAATTTGCTCTTCATTTATTATTTATATCTTTGTTTATTTATAGCAATATGTCATGAGTTGTTGTCAGTTTTAGTCTCCCAACTATTGTGTTACATCATTTGTAGTGGTACGGAATTAGAAGTCTAAAATGTTAAAGTTAGAAATTTTGAACTCCTAATTCATTGTAGTAGTGGATTAAATGGGGGATTAAAAGTTGAAAAGTAGATAGAATGTGTGTTTTTTTGGAATTGGATAGAAGGTGTTAGAAATAGAGGAGGGATTGACATGAAGAAAAAAAGAAAAAGGAAAGAAAAGAAAAAAAGAAAATAGTAGAAGGGACGTAAGTGATGACGTCAAAGTGACGTCATTTCACTCATTTATGCATTAAAACCCACAATTTTTATTTAAAGTCTAATAAATTTTGTATTTGTATTCCAAAAATTTCAAAACATTTATCAAAATTCATAAATTTTTATTATCTTTCATAAGAAATTTAAAGTCTCCAATATTACATATATATAAAGTGGGAAAAACACAAAATTTTAATTGTTGAAGATTTCTTGAGCCCAAGAAAACATGAAACGCAAATTTTAATTCATGAAGTCTCCATAAATAATTGAATATTATATCATCTTATTTTATTTTTTATGAAAGCTGAAAAATGTAAAAGAAATTATCGACAATGCTCAAATGGACTACGAATTTAATGAGAATGCTCATAAAAGCTACAAAAATAACAACACATCGTACCTTTTGTTCTGCACATTTCAGTTTCACCTAGTGCACATTTCAATTTTACCTAATGCATAATTCAGATTCACATAATGTCACTGTATCATACCATTTGTCCTGCTCATTTTAATTTCACCTAATACACATTACAGTTTCATCTAATGCACATTGAATTTCATATAAAAGGTTACATTGGAGTCCCGCTTAACAGTGGCCTAACTCGCTAATCCTGCAATGTGGTAGACCCCATTAATAGCAATGTTGCACCTGCTACTGGAAGGAAGAGCAAAAATAACTGAAGAGTTATGAGAAGAAAAAAACAAAAAAAAAAATAGAACAATATCGTATTTTTCCGGCCACTAGCAAGGAGAAAGAGGTTTGACCAGACCCCACCAAAGGTTCCACTTTCTCATCACAACGATCCCCTATCACTGGCAGTGCTTTCTAGACAGCACCGCCGCCTGCAAGTTTTTTGGATCCACATCATCAACATCCATATTTGTTTGAACTTTGAACACCCTCCTCGATAACCGGTTTAATGACCCTGCATTTTTTTGTTCTTTCGGGTTAATAGCAATTTCCTTGCCCTTTGACAGAAGACCTTCCACCACGTAGCTTTCTTGATCAATTATAGCTCTGCTCGAAGAACCCGAAAACTCCCTATCATCCCTTTTGTCACTTGGCCTATTGTTGCTAGAAATCATCCACCTGTTTCCCGGTTGCACACCACCCCTCCTCATATTAGCATGTAACCATGACTCCTAAGGCTTCTCATCAATCCAAGGGCCACTGTGTGGATTGGAAGGGCAGAAACGGTCTGCATGGCCAAGAATCCCATGTGGGAAGCAGAGATTTAGGAGTCTCCTATAACAAAAATATGATCAGATCCAGTTATCCCTCTGTTGTCATACCTGCAAGTGCCTAGTCAAAGCCGCGGTGATATTAATAGTAATTCTAATACGCATAACCAATTTTTGTTTTCCGCCAATAGAACCTTCATCCAGTTGCACAATAGATCCAATATTGATTTTTGTTGTTATTTTTGGGCAGTTTTTATATCTAGAAATATTACAGATGAAATTCAAATACCCGATACAAATCTTTCGACTAAAATAAAAATAAACAAATTACTGAATGTTCAGATATTTAGAATGAAATAAGCTAACGATAAGTGGTGCACCTGAACCCAAAAATCGGCATGATCCAGTGGGACTTCAAGGGGCTTGTCTGTATGCCCCACGCGCCTAATCACTACTAGGTTTTGCTCAAAGGATCGAGGCTCTTCCTCAATGACTCTGCTCAGATGTCCTTCGTTTTTAAAATTGTAGAAGAAACTTAAATTCACTTATCTCATCAATAGAAAGCCCCCGGACTGGTTTCATGACTATGGCCATCATTTGACGGAAAGAAATGACACGAATAGGTTTATCTGATACCACTCTGGCCACAACCGAAAGAAAAACTCCCTCATTAGCCACATTAGTACCCCTGTCGGGTCTGCTTTAATCTGAGCACCAAACCCCGGTTCTCCTCCTCAGTAATAGAGACCATATTATAATCCTTAACAATCATATACATGATTAATAAGTCTCGATTACAGGTCACAAACTAAGAGTCACAAACAAACTTAAACACAAGTACACATCAATGAAAAAACAGAACTCAAACACCACAAAACACAGCAATAGGCAACAGGGTTAATGCCCCAACCTCGGTTTAGAACCAAAACAACAACAAAACCTCAACCACAACGGTGCCGGATCAAACTACGGGAAAAAACCCCCGAAACCAAATACGAAGACTAAAATCAAGCAAAAAAGCATTGAAGAAGAAGGCCTGGAGACATAGAAATCACGGCAATCAAGTCTGTGAATATCCATCTTGGTCACCGATCGAAAAACGACCTTAGCTTGGCTAAACGCTCAAGATTATCGCGGCTTTGCTCTTAGGTTCTCTCTCTCTCTCTCTCTCTCTCTCTCTCTCTCTCTCTCTCTCTCTCTCTCTCTCTCTCTCTCTCTCTCTCTCTCTCTCTCTCTCTCTCTCTCTCTCTCTCTCTCTCTCTCTCTCTGCGGCGATCCATCATCATCTCAATACACGTGTTACATAAAAATCACTAAAATGGAAATGTATCATTAATAAGGTACACATTGTGGAGGAAATACACACTATTGTGTTTTTTATGTGATCCATTTATTTGTTCATTTTAATGACTAAGATTACTTCTCATTTTTAAGAAGTGATTTGTATTTGGATTTCCATCTATGTATATATACGTCTATATACACGTCTATATATATTTATTATATACGTAGTTTATTATCGTATATACGTGGAGCATGAAACTATATATTTATTTTTTTTAAAAAAAATCGACTATTATGTGTGTGTGTGTGAATACAAGTTGTATGCATTATTTCGACTAAATAAATGTTGATCAAGAAATTAGGTACTCGAAAATATATTATGTATGGTATGCATTTTCATATGATAGTTAGAAAACTAAAATTACGTAGTAAGGGATCACATCTGAATAACAATTGTCTTTGAATTTTGTTAGTAGTCATTATTGGATATTGATATGCACTAGTTTGTAGTGCATAAATGCATGTTTTTATATTTATTCTGTGTGGATTGTTTACCGTTTTAGTTAGTTTGTAAGCATTTGTTTTGTTTTGTTTGTAAATGTTTTTAGCTTCCATTTATAGTTGTAAAATAGTGGTAGAGCTTTTTGGAAAGGAAAAGGAGAAAAGTCAACAGGAATGCAGCCCAGGGAGATCCACCCGACCGGGTAGAAGTAATCCACCCGGTCGGGTCTGATTTAAAAACTGAATTGCAGTGGAAAGAGCTGCACCCGGTCGGGTCAACTAATCCACCCGGTCGGGTCAGATTTGACCCGGGACATTTTAACGTGCTAAAACACAAGAACGTGGGAGATTATCTGATTTTGACATGCACCCGGTCGGGTGGGCACTTGACCCGGTCGGGTATCCGGCCCAAGGTGTTGAAAACACCTATAAATAGCACACTTTTCCTTCACAAATAAAAATCCCTTCTTCCATACTCTAAACTGATCAGTTTAGAATAGTATTTCTTTTATATTTTTATAGCATGTTTAGTCTCCAAATGAGGAGTTAAACCCTTCCATCTTGGTTTTGCTACTTTGAAGCTTAATGAATTTGTAAGTTGTGAGTTATTCTCTTTAATCTTCTTCCTTGAATATGAATTATTCCTTTAAATACTATTTCTATATCAATGTTGGGAAGTGTTACTAAGATGACAATTAGTTAACATCTTGACATTAGTTATAGTAATAGCTATTTCTTCCTCTATGTTAATATTGGGGAGTGTTACTAAGATGACAATTAGTTAACATCTTGATATTAACTATAGTAGGATTCATCTTCTTTAATATTCTTCCCTGAGTATTAATTAATTCTTATTCATATTTCATATTAATATTTTGAACATTACTTAAAGGATCAACTAGTTTTGTTTCATATATTAATTATTACTAGAATCGGTCGATTAATACGCTTGTTATTAATTCGGTCCTTTCACGGTAATAAACTTGGGTTATTAATGCATGCGTTTCATGGTTAATAAACCAAGGGAAATTAATTATATTGATTAAACCAATAAACCGCTTGTGTTGAGGTTATCAATCTCAATCGTTTTCATCTTGATTTTATTGCTACTATCGAGTGAATATACGGCGCGTGTTCTATATTAACTCGGTAGTAAGTTTTATTAATGAACGCGTCTCGTTATTAATAACTACCCTCAATGAATTGGATATACTCCTCGATTGAGTATTCGAGAGGAAGATAGTTAAAGATATAACCAGGATCGACGAACATTTCATTAAGTGGATAAAAGCAAAGCCAAGTCTTCTTCTCATTAATTAAACCACATAACTCGTTCATCTTTGTGTTTTAATATTCTTAAAAGTTCTTCAACAACAAATCTAAAACCCCCCTTATTACTAGTTATAAAAAGAGAAATATTTCTTTCCCTGCGGATACATACGAACCTTACTACGCTATACTACGTATAAGTGTTGTATTGTATTGTTTTGAGTGCACATCACGACAAAATGCACGTCAAATTTGGCGCCGTTGCCGGGGAAAGGCAATAATTTTTCTTTTTATTTTTAAAAATCGAAAAAAAATATAAATAAATAAAATATAAAGAGTTCTTACTTTTTCTATTTCTGAGCTTGCATGAGTATATGGTAAAAACCTGTTCTATGAACGAACTTACTTACCAAACAAATCCCGAAATAGAACAAGCCTTCGAGAGGTTGAGAAATTTATTTCTGCACACACCCTCGGAGGAATCCTCAGGTGCTAGTTCCCATTCTAGCGACACCGAAGAGCCAATATCTGTGGCTCAAGAAACAAGAACCTTGAGGGAGCTCACAGCCCCAAACCTCAACCAACAACCATTGTGTATTACCTTCCCTACACTTGATGAGGGTAATACATTTGAGCTCAAATCGGGGCTTATTCATCTCCTCCCTTCATTCCATGGGCTAAGAGGGGAGGACCCAAACAAACATCTTTCAGAGTTCCACATCGTTTGCACAAGCATGTGCCCAAACGGTGTCACGGAGGAACAAATTAAACTGGGGGCTTTTCCATTCTCTTTGAAGGACACCGCAAAAGATTGGCTTTTCTATCTTCCTTCGGGAAGTATCAACACATGGGCGGCCATGAAGAAGTGTTTCCTCGATAGGTATTATCCAGCTTCCATCTCATCTTCTCTCAAAAAGAAAATAAGCAACATCGAGCAAAAGGATGATGAGTCCTTGTATGAATTTTGGGAAAGATTTAAGAAGCTATGTGATAGCTGCCCCTATCATGGTTACTCTGAACAAGACCTCATCTTATACTTTTATGATGGTCTTGTTAATGATGATAGAAGAATGGTGAACGCCGCTTGTGGAGGTGGCATTGTCAATAAAACCCCTTCACAAGCTATAAGTCTTATCTCGGAGTTGGCCGAGAACTCACGGCAATTCGGCCACAAAGCCTCAACTCGAAGAGTTCTCGCGGCAGAATCCAGCACGACCACTCCAGAAAGTCAAGTTGCCGGTTTGACTTCTTTGATAAAAGAGTTCCTTCTAAAGCCAAAAACTCAGGAGGTATAAGCTTGTAGAGTTTGCACATCAACCGGACACCCCCCTGATGCGTGTCCATCACTCCAAGAAGAGCAAGTCAACGCTCTCGGTTTTCAAGGACATCAACAAAGAAGGTATGATCCTTTCTCAAATACTTATAATCCGGGATTGAGGGATCATCCAAATTTGAGATATGGAAACCCTCAACAAGCCAACTCATCTTCTAAACAACCATCTCTAGTATGTCAACGGATGACATGATCCGAACTTTGACATCAAACATGGTTACCATGCAACAAAACATGGGAGAATTTCAACAAACCATGATACAATTCCAACATGAGACAAAGTCAAGCATTAAAAATTTTGAAACTCAAGTTAGTCAAATTTCAAATGCTGTAAGCCGACTTGAAGCAAAGGACTCGGGTAAACTCCCATCTCAAACGGAGCAAAACCCGAGACAACATGTAAATGCAATCATGTTGAGAAGCGAGACGACATTGAAAGAATTAGAGAAGAAAGACCAAAATTTTGAGGAGGTTGACCATGAAGAGGAAGCTCACTCGGAGGAGGGAATCACAAAGGCAAAACTGCCTCCACATTCATCATATGAACTAGTGGCCCCATTTCCCGAGGCATTGAGGGAGACAAGGAAGCTTGACAAAGATGCTGACATCTATGAAATTTTCTCCAAGTGTGAGGTAAACATTCCACTCCTTAACTCAATTAAAAATATTCCCCGTTTTGCTAAATTTTTAAAAGAGTTATGCAAAACAAAAACAAAAAATAAAGTGAAGGGAAAACAAGAGGTTAAGGTGAGTGAACATGTTTCGGTTCTTTTTCAAAAGAAACTCCCCGAAAAATGTAGCGACCCGGGCATGTTCACTATTCCCTGCAAAATAGGGGACACCATATTTTCTAAGGCGTTGTTGGATTTAGGAGCATCAATAAATGTCATTCCTTATTCCTTGTATAAATCCTTAAAACTCGGCCCACTACATCAAACTGGTGTAGTGATTCAACTAGCGGATCGATCTAATATTTACCCGAAAGGTGTAATAGAAGATGTGCTAGTAGAAGTAGAAAATTTGGTTTTCCCTGTTGATTTCTATGTTCTTGAAATGGGGGATGATGACCAAACAACATCCCATTCTTTTGGGAAGGCCTTTTCTGAAAACCGCCAAAACAAAAATTGATGTGTCCAGTGGTTCATTAACAATAGAATTTGATAACCAAAAAGTAGAATTCAACATCTTTGATTCCACTAAAAAACAAATTAAAAATCAATCTCTTTGTTCTTTAAATATTTTTGAACCACCAACACTGAATATTTTTGTTGAGGAAGAACCCAAAAAATCTATTTTGAAAGGAAAACCATCTACTATTGAGGTGGTAACTAGGAAGAAAGTTCGGCCTTACTGGAAAAGGCCGAAAACTAAAATTGAAACATGGCCAAACAGGACCTTGAAGCAGGAAAAAAGGGATGTTCACAATCCCACTTAAAACAGAAAATAAAATAAAAATAACGTCGTGCCGCGACATTAAATCAAGCACTTCTTGAGAGGCAACCCAAGTTTTTATTTTGATCATTTTCATTTATTTTTGTGTGTGAGAAAAGATTTCCAAAAAAAAAAGTCACCTGGGATTACACCCGGCCGGGCACAAAACCCTACCCGGTCGGGTCGCTTCATAAAACACAGCACCCGACCAAATCGCCCGGGCGAGGAAATTAAAAAAACAGAGGAAAAATAAAAACACCCGACCGGGTCACTTCATTATACCTGGCCGGGTGTTTGTAAAAACAAACTCTCTGGATAGAGAACAATTAGGCCCGACCGGGTACACACTTTACACCCGGCCGAGCGTTTTTCAAAAAAAGCTACTGGATAAGCATTATTTAGGCCCGACCGGGTCCATTAACCCACTCGAC